TACAATTTTAGAAGCAATTTAGCATGTTTGTCTGCGAATAGAGAATGTAAAATATGGCTAATGATTAATAAGGAACATGGACATGCAACAAGAAACTTATGAGGCGAAGTTCAGCATGTTTAGTACTTCCAAATAGCTTCTAGACATGTGTTTTACACCCAAAGTAAGAACTAACTAAAAAAGCAGCCAGGTTTGAGCCACTTGAGTTTTTGCCAGTTTTTGCCAGTTTATGCCACCTTAGTTTCTGCCAGCCGGTTTAAACCGGTTAAAACCACTGGCAAAAACCAGTTTTTGCCACCCCTTGCCAACCCTGTTCATAGGTAAAATAATGTTTTGAGGACGATGCCAATTTATTCTGCGTTTATTTCTGATCCTATCGCATTAATTTCGCCACAAATTATGTCCGTCAATGGCTTCTAGAGGACTTTAAAGCTCGAGGCGTCGCGCCTGGTAGAGGTCCAAGATGAGAAAAGCCACCCTGGGCACACCCTAGGGATGAATTTAAAACTCCGCGGGCTCTGGTTGTTTTCATAGGCAAAATAATGTTTTGAGACGGATACTAATTTATTCTGCGTTCTTTTCTGATCATATTATATCAATTTCACCACAAATTATTTACGTTATTAGCTTTTAGATGTCTTTAAAACTCGAGGCGTCGGGTCGGGCTGGGGTTCAAGATGACTGACACGCCACCCTGGCACACCCTAGGGATGAATATGAAACTCTGTGGACTCTGGCAGGTTTCATACGCGAAATGAGGTTATAAGACCGGTAATGATGTATTTTACGTTAATTTCTCATGCCTTTGCAATAATCTTACCGCCAATTATTCATTTCAATTAGTTTCTAAAGGTTTTTAAACACGAAGCGTTCGGCCGAGGGAAAGCCAAGATGAATGAAAGGATACCTTGGCACACATCTAGGGATAAATTTAAGATACGGTATTCCCAGATCTGCCCAATACATGTTCTGAAGCTGGTAGATGGGATTAAGAAGGCCCTAGCTTTTTAATAAATTATCCCTCGCCCGTATAGGGGGGGGGGGGTCGAGCGAACCACCCCCTCGTTTTTTTTTCGAGAATAACTCGCGTAAAAAGCGGCCGATCGCGACGAAACTTTCAGGACCCTCGAGTCAATTAATTTGACACCTACTCTGAAAATCTCTTATTCCTGACCCAAATGACCTTTGACCTGTGACCTATTTCTTGAGGCCATGTTTGGCCGGAATCGCGATTCGGCGAGCCGCTAATGCGTTCCGTTCACTCCCGTTCCGTTTCGGGTGTTCTGGTCAGTTGTGCTCTCGCTTTCCCTTCCGCTTGGGGTGTCCTGATCAGCGATGCCCTCCGTTCCGTTGCAGTTGCTCTGATCAGTGATCACTGATGCCCTCCGTTCTGTTGCGGGTGCTCTGATCACTGATCACTGATCAGTGACGCTCTCTCACTCAGCATTTATCACGTGACATGATACGAAGCTACCGCTCCGTTTCGGTGGCCGGCCATGAGGTCGGTGGCATCCTATCATTTTTTTTTTTGCATCCCGTTCCGTTCCGATATGGATGCCCTGGTTACTGGTTAGTTGCACGCTTTTTATTGCGATATTGCGTATTGTGCTGCGCAGTGCACATCGTTCCGTTTGGGGTGCCCTAATCAGTGACCCTTTGTCTAGTCTCATGTAGTGCACCGTTCTTTTCGAAGAGTTGCGCTGACACCGTTTCCATTTTCACTATGCGTAATGAGTACCGACTATCGCTGGCCGTTCCGGCGTTCGGGCCGGGAGATTTCCGGCGTATGTCATGCTGCATAGTGCGACTGCAATTGCATACTCAATACTGCGTCCCGTTCCGTGTGCCCAGAGCAAAGGCACCATTTCCAGTATCATCCGGCCACTGTCATATCTGTTGAAAATGGAAAGCTCAAAGCTATACTGTGTACACTGTACGAATATTACCAGATCAGATGCGAACGAAAACTACATACTTATATTGCCGCATATTATCTCAAATATACAGTAATCTTGGAAGCGGTGCTGCCATATTGTAGGCGCAAAACGTCCCAGAGGCCAGAACACATGAGTTATACGGTTTCTGGTTTCATAGTGATCAGTTACGTCAACAAACTGCCCATCAGGGTATCATGATTACCTAAGATTTTATGTCTGACAGTGTCACAGTGATGACCACGCCTCACGCATTACACAGTCTGAGTCAACTGCACTAAATCAATAATACAGGACGACAGAATGATACCCTTTGCAACGGCAACGACAGGTTCCTTCCCACTTCCTTTGCTTAAAAAAGAAAGAAAACTTCTCCACATGGCACTAGTACCAAAGCCTGCATATAGGGAGAGCTCCCTCACCCGCCCCTCCCCCACCCTCCTTAAGATATGACAACAGATTTCAACAGAATCATTGCATCTTCTGCTTCTTAAAGACCTAGTTCGCTCGCATGATGGCGACTGGCGTCGCGAGGATGGAGGTCCGCGGATGATCTTCTTTAGGAGAAATATACAGGCAGAAGGACCGTCCTGGATCCGTGCCAGTAAGCATGAGTAGGAACTTAGCAGATGCTGACGGTAATATCTGCTGTCTGCATCTGAAACGGAAAGGAAGGCATTGATTTAAGGCTAGGAGAAGGATGGCCACTGGACAGCATTCAATTGTGACAATGCATTTTGACTTGTGAGGAAAATGAAATCTCACTGGTTGAAGTAGGTATTCATTCTTAGCTGTATAAGAGACAAGGGTGATTCTTAACTTCATTAGTCTCAATCAAACACAAAGGTTGGGATAAAATGGGACGGATTTAGAAACACTTGGCGATCAGATGCTAAAGTTATAATTCTGTCGTATATCATCCTTACCTATTTGCATCGTCTTTTTCGGTTAGTTTTGGTGGTCAGGAATGATATGTTCTTTTATTATCAGCCAGCGTAGCGTTACGCCTTTATTGCGAAAGTGATATAGGTTTTCACTTGTTTTTTTCTCATCCTAGATTTTTTTGGTCATCATCGTCACACCCAACCAAAATCCAATTTTAGAACACTGGGCACACATTTTCAGTAAATGGTGTGATTTTCATGGTGTTCGGTAAATTACTTTTTAAACGTTGCGTGTTTCAAGTATGCCATGTAAAAATTACTTTTTTACTCCGATGTTTACAAAATAAAGTGAGTGAACGGGTCACTTTCACCCCGCGGCACCGCAGCCTACAGCCATGACTTCTATTGACAGCTAGTCTCATTGATGGTTCGGGTCTCAGGATGACACAGTCCCTCAGGCAACGACGATGGCTCTGTGACAGCGGCATCGGAAGAAGTTTCCAGTTTTCTAACCATCTTGTGGCTCAAATGCCTTCCTAGCTGACATTCCTGAGAAAACGTAGCTTTTCAACCAGTTTTTTTTTTGTCATCTGCTGGCAATGTTGTTTTTCATAAGCTATTCTGTGGTCTTCTGGCACAGGAACCAGTCTGCTTTAGTTTGTTTTCCTTATCCGGTCGATTTACTGTTTGATCTACTGAAAGGAGGGTAATCAGCAGTAATCCATGCACCGTGCCACTCCTGCTCGAAACATGATTTGGTGTTGAAACGAATGGCATCCATGAGCACCATTTTGGCTCAGTATTTGAATATTTGGCACACAAGTGAGACAAAAATATTTAAAATAAGAACATACGTGTTGGTTTCATTCACGTGCTCTATTTTTATTCTTTTTTGTAGCATGGGACGTCTAACCCAATCATCATTATCGTTTGACATCGGCAAAAAAGCAAAAACGTCTTGCTTGATTCAACCCAAGATTGCCAGCTTGAAAATGATGATATAGTGTTATAATTTGGCATACCAATGCGCAAAGTAATGACGCAAACTTGATGAAAATTTTGGCTCGTTATTTTCACTCGGATTTGATATATAGGCCTCCAAAGTTCGGAACGTTTTTTTCTGGGCCACCCGGTATATAAAATAAGAAGCGCAAAGGCTGGTGCGTCTAGCAAAAATGTGAACGAAACCCCAGGGCCATTTTTTGACCCTTTGACCTCGTGACCTTTTCTTGACCCCGTGACCTTTCAAATTTGTCCTATTTTAAAAATTCTGATTTTTTTCTATCAGAGATGTCTTATCCATGCTCTTAATAGTGGTATGTGATTTGGTTGGTATATCGGACCTGTTGAACTCAAACTGAGGTCAACAATGTGGTCATGACCTGACATGAAAATGACATCTGCCGAGAACGTCGAGAATCATAGGCAATATGGGTGTCATATGAAAGCTTACTTCACGGAGAATACATTGGTGGTGTTTTTGAGTAGGTGTGGGCCGGGTCAAGGTCACATAACACAGCATTGTGTTCTTGGAAGGTGGCGTATTTTATTTGTTTGGTAAGCTCAGTGATCAGCACACAATAAAAAGGAAACAAAACGTCATAAAACACCGTCTGTCTTTATTCAAAAAGCACAGATAAAATGCATTCACCCATATACACACACTCGCACAAACACACACACATACATACACCTTGTTCGAGGAAGATCTTTCAAACAAACCTCAGTAACACACACGGTGTGAAGAACGAGTCTCAGATGACTAGGAGAGCTTGAAGGCTGCTATGGTGTGGGAGTCGAGCGGTACAAAGCGGTGAAACGTCCTGGTACACTCGGGGGCAGATTGATGTTCCACCACTCCCTACCCATCGGGCGATCCCATGGCTCAGCACTGGCTGCTGCCAGTGTTGCCTGCCCTCAGCACTCCTCAGCACTGCCTGCCAATGCCAGTGCTGCCAGTGCTGCCACTGGCAGCAGCCAGTGCTGAGCCATGGGAGCCCGATGGGTAGGGAGTGGTGGAACATCAATCTGCCCCCGAGTGTACCTACTACCTACCCTTCACCGTGCGGGCACTTGTGAACCGTTCTCTTTCATTTTCGTCTTCGTTCCTGCTATTTGCGTTGCCGAAACGAAGAAGAAATGCATTTTATCGGTAAGGTGGTCCTCACAGTATTACCATGGATGAAGTAGTACCTGGATCGGCAACTCCTCGATGTTTGTGACCACCGCTAGGTGGCAGTGGTGTCGAGCGCTAAGGACGCGGGGGAGCGGGTGCTATTCAAAACAATGGTCGGCGTCGCGTCGTAGGATCGTTTGCCTTGTTTTTTGAAAAGTTAAGCCCCTTTGGAGCAGATTGGAAGGTTTCAGAAGATGGAGGAAGATGGCAAGGTAAGATTGGTAAGGTTTTTTTGTGGTTGGAGGGTCTGAGTGGCCTAAAATATGACTGTAAAGAGCGGCTGTTGACGATACTGGCGCACATTGCTTCTCGCCATATGTCGTTAAAAATCGTATAATTTCCGTAATTGAATGGTTAATCACTTATTTATATGTTTAATTTTATGTTTTTATATGTTTGTTATATGTTTGACACATCATATCTCAAGCTTATACATGCCGCTGATATAGCCATGGTTTTGCTTGTGATACAATTTCGGTCGTGGCAGCGCATGATAGGTGGTGGATGATGCATTGTTAGTTGTGAATTGCTTAAGTTTTTGTTAAGTTTTTGGTTTAGCAAAATCAGTTAGTGTGCCATTATTTTTTAACTCAATATTTGTTCAACTATTGAAAATGGTTTCTGTTTTATATTGTGTAGTGCCAATACCTACCTATAAATTGGTCAACTGCTCACTGTTCAGACTCACTGCTCACCCATATCAGTTTCCTACGTATTTCTCTGAACGGCTGACTAGAGTGCAACACACTTCAGGACTCAGGAGCAGTTGACTGGCATCATGTCATTTCAGCTAATTTTTATAACCTGCTTGCCAATGCCCTGATTTCATAAATAGTTGAATGATATTGAATAAAAAAAAACACATTTAAATAAATCATGTTCTCAGCCTGAAAAACTGAACCATTTGACAGTAAAAAGAAAGCCTAATGGCAGCCAGTGCCATTGTCAACCACAAATGACAAAAGAGTGCCGACCCTGGTCCCTGACATCAGCTTCCTTCTTTTCTCAAAGCCAAAAGGTCCAGAGTAGTACGAAGAAGTTTGTGAGTTTCCCTCTATTGAATGATATATAACAATCACCTTTTTAGAACGAGTGCTAGCCAAACTGTGTGTAGATAGCAGATAGATTTAAGTAAGATAAAGCCATTTTAACCCTAGAACGCCTAGGGGGGGGGGTTGTATCAACCCCCCCCCCCTGAGGTTTTTTCGAAGTGCACGCTAAACGGCTTGTCGTAGCGGGCTGAAATTTTCAACACCCTCTGGGGCAACCTTTGCGCATCTTTTGCCGAAAAAAAATTGATCGGGTCATGTCAGGTCACGGAGTTATGACGTCATAAGAGGTACAGCCTCCGGCCGGATTTTCACAAACTGAGTGCCAACGCCCGAGGTTTCCTGCCGGTGGTACGGACATCGGTTCATGGATCGTGATGAAACTTCCCATGCATGTTGGGGCAAGTATTGGCTATCATATGGTATAAGAAATTTGACCGGGTCAGGTCAGGTCACGGAGCTATGACGTCACAAGAGGAACAGCGTCCGGTACTATTTTTGAAAAGCGCCCGAACCACTATTTTGCTAATTCTTATCACCTCAATGGGAATATGCAGCAATATTAGCTTCTATAGGGAGCAAATGGACCTCCCAAATCCAAAAATACAATCAGATTTCAAAAATTTAAATTTTGATTTTTCGAATTTCTGCCGCCGACTGTGACCTTGCCGACTTCCGGCGCTCCCAACGCGCCATTTTTAGAGCTAGGGAAACGAAATACATACCAAACGATAGAGAATTGATCAAGAAACACGATAGTGAAGGTTTCAAGTCGATATCTCCCACCGTTTTGCCGCAATCGCCGCCGAAAGTTGAAAAAAGTCTATTTTTCCGAAAATTTGACCTTTGACCGGTCAAAAGTAGGTCAAATGTTGACCTAGGACCAAAAAATATACCACCAATCGCGAGATCTCGTTGAGAGCAATCCGTTGGTTTTTTCCGCTAAGCTCTACGACCTTCCGTTTCGAAACGCCAGGGGGGGGTCGTAACAACCCCCCCCCCTGGTCGTTCGTGTTATGAGAAATGGCCTGGTCGTGCGAGGGTTAAACTATGTAAGCCTAGCAGATAAGGTGTTAAGCTTTTGGGTACTTTTGTTTGGGAGTATCTTGTCAAGGTATTATTTATTTTATTTTTTGCCAACATCATCGCAATGTAAAATACTTTTTTGTGATGTTGTGGGGAAACAGTTTGCCTTGGAATGCCCTCACTCTCCATTTCATTACGGTATGCTCAGGTATCTAATTTCCCTCTCTCACTCTTCGTTTCAGATCAAAGAGATGGGTTCAGTTTCCACGGTGTGCTGACTTGAATTGGCATCCTGTGATTTGTGATGTGAATTATGATGCACGCACTCGCAGGTGCACGCCCACTGCGGACACGTGTGACGTGACGGCAGCAGGCAGCCGGGGTGTGAACTGTGAACTGGCTCGGCCGAAAATGTTTAAGGTATCACAGCGTTTGTAACTGACTAACATACCCACTACGGGCATACCCATTGAGCGGATAATGCGTTCGTGTGCATCGTGTTTGCATTTATTCCCGATATACTCTGGTGGTAGGTGTGAATTGGAAGCCAGCTTGGTGCTACGACACCGTTTAGTAGGCATGTGGCACGTCGTTTCTCGAAACCTACCTATCAGTCTATGCAATAATATGCATTGTATACATTGTGTGTCATCGTTCACCTTAGTTGTCATTGAACCTGTGTTAAATTCTGAACTTCAGGCCGTGACAGACTATTTCCACATTCAGGAAATCGCACACGAGAACCTATTCAAATCCATTAAGTTGCAATAGCATCAATCGCACGCAAGGAGGTGCGTGTTATGGATGCGAGTGCGACCGGGGTTTATTTGAATAGGCTCTCGGTCTCGCACATGATTTCTGACTGCGGAAAGAATCGGTTTCAGCCTGTACTCAGTAGGCAATTCGCTCATGCGACGGCAAATATAAGTTCAATATGGAAACAGTTTTTTAACGAAACGGTGTATGGTAAGCTTATAATCCTGGAATGCTTCTTGATAGAAATTGTCAGTGGTGCAGATATTCGTTAATCGATATGACAGCATTTGTCTTGATCTTTATAAGTCAGTCAAAATGGCTGTAGCAATGATTTGGATGTTTCACGGCGGACGGCACATTTCCTCTGCGGTCTACCGACGACTGAGTTGGAATGCTCAAGCTGATCAGGGGCAACCCGAGTGATAGACAAAGTCGTTTGATCGAAGGTATTTTCAGGCAGCTGGCAGAAGGCGCCTGGCCTGGCCATGAGAGCTAACAATACGACGTGCTGAGGTAAAATCGGCCAGTCGCGCTCGGTAAACGACCCACCACACCATTCTTTCCAAAACGATACATAGTCTATGGAACCGCCCTGGACCGCTCTTCCGGAACCCGACACTGTTGGCCTATGTCAAACTTAGCCGCGGCTGGTTCAGGCCATGTAACTTGCCGGTCATTTTCGGACTTTGCTGGTATCGGCCGCTGTCTGACTGGGCGGCGGCGGCGGGCTGTCCTTAGCAGGGATCAGTCTGCTCGATAGGTGGCAGCACTTTCGGGCGGTCGCGCAATACAATGGGAATTCCGCGGAGTTGCCGATCCAGGTAGTAGGTAATCCATGGTATTACCAATACCATCGCATGCGCTTTTGCCATGCGAGGTGGCAAAAAATCCACTCACATTGAACACTGAAATCCTCGGCATGATGACATATATTTGCAAAATTGTATTTGTTCTTGTACTGGGACGCTGCTCCGTCAGAGAAGTAGTGTATTTTTTAGTCTTGGGCAATCATTTCAAATGTGGGGAATAACCACTGCCTGAAATGCCGCTTCAGCTCCCGCGTCAGCTCCCGCAACGCAAATAGCAGAAACGAAGACAAAAATGAAAGAACACTTCACAAGTGCCCGCATGGTGAAGGGTACCAGGACGTTTCACCGCTTTGTACTGCTCGACTCCAATACCATAGCAGCCTTCAAGCTGTCCGAGTCTTCTGAGACTCGTTCTTCACAGCGCGTGTGTCACTGTGGTTTGTTTGAAAGAACTTCCTCGAACAAGGTGTATGAATGTGTGTTTTTGCGAGTGTGTTTATATGGGTATGTGTGCATTTTATCTCTGCTTTTTGAATAAAAAAGACGTTTTATGACGTTTTGTTTCCTTTTTATTGTATGCTGATCACTGGACTTACCAAACAAATAAAATAAGCCACATTCAAAGAACACAATGCTGTGTTAGGTCACTGACCTAATGTGACCTTGACCCGGCCCATACCTACTCAAAAACACCACCAATGTATTCTCCGTGAAGTTAGCTTTCATATGACACCCATATTGCCTATGATTCATGACGTTCTCGGCAGATGTCATTTTCATGTCAGGTCATGACCACATTGTTGACCTCAGTTTGAGGTCAACGGGTCCGATATACCAACCAAATCACATACCACTATTAAGAGCATGGATAAGACATCTCTGATAGAAAAAATCAGAATTTTTAAAATAGGACAAATTTGAAAGGTCACGGGGTCAAGAAAAGGTCACAAGGTCACAAGGTCAAAAAATGACCCTGAGTTTTCGTTCATATTTTTGCTAGACGCACCAGCCTGTGCGCTTATTATTACATATATAACTTTTTTTGATACGGTGAACCGTTGCAGAGATAAAAAATACTTTATATTTCAATATTCCGGGAAACCCTAAAATTTGCATGATCCATATCTCATGACCCCTGTGACCTAGAGACTAAAAATTCACTGGGACGTAGTAGTGCCCATAGGTCAACTTGCATGCCAAATTTGAGCAAAATCGGAGAGGTCATGGTGAACATGCCTAGGTGATCTGTCATGGAATTGCCCTATTGCGATACTGTTCGTCCGTCTACGGATCGTGCGGAGAGACGCAACTTCGGCGGCTCCAAAAAGTACTGAACTTCTGTTCCCGGGTCGTGTCGAACAAGCGGCGTCGCGACAGTGTGGCATCTGCAATGCGCGAATTGAAATGGTTATCTGCCAAGCGACTAATTGACTACCACACCGTGTGCGCTGTACAGCGAGCTATCGTATCTTCCCAGCCTGAGCGCCTGAGCAGCACCCTAGGGCGCCAGGCGAGCAATCGCCACCAGCACGACACAAGGCGCGCCAGTTTGCTCACGCTCCCGTCCATTCGGACGGAGGCAGGCCGACGGCGGCTGTGCTACAGGGGAGTGGCACGACTCAACCAGCTCAAAGTTGACCCAATGGTGGCATCTTTCAGAGCTAACGCTATGAAGGTGCTGCGAGCAATGCCTGAACAAGATGCTTAGATTATGTGTGTCTATGTTGAGCATACGTACTGTGATTTGTGAATGCGTGGATGTGTGCTCGATATACTCCCCCCTCCCCATGATGTCCCCATCGTATGACGTGAGCTTGTGAAAAGCCACTCCATTGTGTGGATCTGGCTCGAATATATCTGTATCTGTATCAGGGGGGGGGGGTAAAATTTACCCCCCCCCCCAGCCCCGCGCGGGATATAGCTCAGAGGTAGAGCATTGGAGCGCTAATCCAAAGGTCCGGGGTTCGAATCCCCGTATAGCCCAAATCTTTAATGAGCTTGCAAAAGATTACTGATGTCATCACTGTCAACCGTGGAAGCCGTATGGCTACCCATCTACGCTGGAGTACGAAAAACATCATCTCACATAAAGAAGCAATACAATTTTTGACATGCTATTGATCATTTTCACATCAATTTTAACTAGGGATGTTGATTGCTGTTTCAATCTATTATTTTGTATAGGTGGCACAAACCAAACCATCAAATTGCCATGGTTGGTTGAAGCATCATTTTTTATACATATTTCCTAAACATTTCCAGCTTCAGTGGCCATAGACGGTAGACCACTGGTCAAGTCACCATATCTAAAGAAACACAATATTAAATTTAAATGTATGTTTGCTGCTCTCCAGCCCAGAGTTTTGATTTGCTTAGAAGCTGTTATATTGCTGGGCATAAAACTTGTTCCAGTTTTTAACATGTCATCTAGAGGTCACTCATAACCTTGTAATGTTGAACCTGTGGGAAAAGTTCAAATTGAAGTAGGTAGAATGTTGATATTTTTGTGCTTTATTGTTTTTATGTTTCAGGTTCCTACTACCTCAGCTTACACTAATATGTGATCTAGTTTTTATTTGTTTGGTGCAAGCATGCAAGGGTGCTGCAACACAGGGAATTGACATGCTTAATATGCTGGTGCTTTTCATTTTGCTTAGACATCAAAGGTTTTATGCTAAAAGCAGGGGTGCGGAGCCGGAGCCGGAGCCGTCAAAGAAGGGGGCGACTCGGGCTTTTTTTAAGAGGAAAAAAAGTTAATTGACCTAATTTGGTTTGACAGTCCAAGGCAGTAAAACATGTGGTACGTTATGGGCCATCACGTGAATGAAAAAAGCTGAATACGGATCCCCGGTGTACGTACAGTACAATTTTTTCAGTATGTAATCAACCTCCTGTCTGCTCCTCCCTCCCCACATCTACTGCAGCCCCAGAACCTGAGGACCGGTCATCAGGTGATGGCCATTGTTTTGGCCACCTGCATTTAATTGATCGCATATGGGGATGTACTGAGTCGGAGCCGGAGCCGGAGCCGAAACCGCCGGAGGCGTACCATTTTACTCGGAGCCGGAGCCGTAGCCGCCATGACATTTCACCCGGAGCCGGAGCCGATTTTTTTTCCCGGAGCCGGAGCCGTCTGAAATTTCCACGGCTCCGCATCCCTGGCTAAAAGCTATTGACAGAATTTAACCAATTTGTAAATTAGCTTCAAATTTGAAGCTGAAATTGTCATTGAAGTCATTTTTGCTTCAGGTTGAACTAATGAGGCTGTTTTTGGCGGCAGGCGCAGGCGGGCACGCAGCTAACGGTCAGCGAGCTAGCGCTAATCAAAGCGGCGGTGGCCGTAGCGTCCGGCAATGCCAGCCAGCGGCCACTGCAGCCGCTTACGCAGAACAGCCTGCAGGAGTTTGGGCGCGAGCTGCTGCAGCAGGCCGCTGATGGCAAGGTGGACCGCATCAAGGAGCTCATAAAGCAGGGAGCGCCCTTCACCACCGACTGGGTATGTGCTGTCACATTACAAAACACCTCTATCAGGGCGAAACTTGATCAGGACAGAAATCGTGGAAAACTCCCAAATGATCACGTAATGGAAGTGCCTGTAAGCTGCAAATTGACTAGTCACAAAACGAAGTCACAAAATAAATTTAAGCCACTTAATGTTATTGTTTTGGTAGTTGTTGAGCATAATGTTGATTGTCACATTTGTCGACGGTTTAGGTTCATTGACTGGCTATATCAGGCTGCTGTCGAGTCCTGTGAGTGTGAGCCGGTGAGCTGGCTGCCGCTGCCCGTCTGACCGGCGCCGCGCCGACAGCTGGGCACCTCTCCGCTGCACATGGCCGCCATGTACGGCCACTACGAGGTGGCCGAGGTGCTGCTGGCGGCCGGCATCTCGCGCGACGCACGCACCAAGGTCGATAAGACGCCGCTGCACCTGGCCGCCACCGAGGGCTTCACCAACATCGTGGAGCTGCTGCTCATGAACCACGCCGACGTCAACGTCAGAGACATGGTGGGTGGCCGCTCGCCCGATGGGGTCGATGGCCTTGCAGCAGTTGCTCAGACGGACGAGTTAAA